ACAGCAGTGTTAAAGTGTAAATGTTACGGTGTAAACAACAGTGTTAAAGTGTAAATGTTACAGTGTATACAATAGTGTTGGAGTGTAAACTTTACAGTCCCAGCAATGTTTTAAATGTAAACTTTACAGTGTAACCAGCAGTGTTGAAGTGTAAAGTATAAACAGCAGTGCCAACTGAAGGGGCATCCTGAAAGTGTATACAGATCTATTTAAACTACTTGCCTTCGGAAGACCTCTATGTAGTGATAATTAATAATAAAACATTTTATTTGTCTAGTGCTTTTCTAGGTACTCAAAGACAAATGTATGAATAAATAAATGGAAGTCAAAATAGTATCATAAAAGTCATAGTAAAAAAACAAACAGTCAATAAGTATAAAAGTCATGAAATAATGGAGGCATACAGTGTGACCATCTTCAGAAAACTAGTTACAATAGCAATCATATAAAAAACGAATTTACATTATTATTTCTCTTTATATATATTTCATCTAGAAGTCCAGCCCACACCACTACAAACAGCAACTCAAACTCAAACATTTTCTAATTCTCTTGAATATGCGATTCTCTGCGGTCGGTTATTACGGGGCATGTTTAATTAAGCAAGAGTCACAAGGCATTTGCCCGCATGCGACCACAAGGTGACATAGACGTCACGTCGGGTACGATATCGTCAAGGCAACCGGCGGCGTGGAACAGTGACGGCCCGTCACGGTTGACAGTTTGTGAGAGATAGCTATCTTGGCAGAGCTCTGCCTGGCTAGTCATCATCCACTGTGGACATATTGATGTGACAAGTGGTCCGCTGAGTGAGTGCTATAACGTATGACGTACAATGAAATATTTAGCTGAAGTGTAAAGGGGGAAAAAAAGGAAAAAACTAAATGATTGCACTGTTATTAGCACTCATTTGAGAAAGTCAACTGCCAGCTGACGTATGTAAAGATGGTGCAGAAAAACCTAGGGTCTCACCTGGTTGGAAACTTCATAACATTTTAAAAAGATTACACTTGTCGACAAAATATTGTATTGTTAAGATCTAGGCCACACAATGCTTTTGAATAAGATTTACATGTGAAAGAAATATTAGAATACATTATTGGACTATTACAGCTATATGGTTTATAAGCTAAGCTATTCGTCAAAATACTCCTTTGCTACATGTTCAAAGTCGTTCAAATTTTAAATCATCTTCAACCCCCTAGATTATAAATCAAAACCTTAACCCCCTTGAATATCGCAACGCCATTCAATGACGATGCATTTGAGTCAAACGGTATTCAATAACAGTGTTTACATGTTTGAAAAGGGGAACGAAATTCACAATACGAATTCAGAATTTAAAATGGCTGTTGAACTGGAGCCTGAGAGCGAGAGACAGGCATTAAGGGAAGACATTTAGCTTCTCAAACCACTCCCACATCCCGGAAAGGACACCGCGGTCTCGCCTAAGGGTACGCAACGTGCCTAAAGCTGGACTTTTTTGGCATCGCTCTCGCGGAGCCTAAAGCGATGGTAGTTTCAGCTGACACCGTCATGCATACTTAACACGTTACTTAAGGTTGCATTCTTCTGAAATACCCACATGGATTAGAGAAACACTCCTCTTACGGAAGAAAAGATATGAACTATTTAAGAGTTGGGGCGGGGGGACAAGGGAGGTTGTTGTCTGGTTGTTCACAAGAGATTATCTTCAAATCTGTCTGACAAAGTCAATTTGGTGACATGGGGAAATGTAGCCTAGCAGCATAAGGTACACTAGGACTGCTGGCCTGGCGGTACAGTAAACATGCACGTCAGCCTGCATATTTTATGCTTTTTAATGTATATCCCAAGTCAATAACTAAGTACATCAAGCCAATAATTGAATTAACATTCACAATTCTAGGGTCTGAAGCTGGGACTTTTTTTCTATCTTGTATATGCTTCCCTGAAAACATCTCATCTCCGGTGGGATTGAGATAATCTTTCGTTGAATAGTATCTCTTAGGGACCACAAAAACCAGAACCACGAGTACCTCTTGTCGAGAGACCACTGTATAAGCGGTCAGTGTTGGACGGGATTACAGTCAAAGAAGCCCTTCGCCTCGAAAATGATTCGCACAGGTCTGGATGGCGCCGCTAAAACATTAATGGCCTTTACTTTGAAAAGGCAAACATGATTGGGCAAATTGTTGAAATATTTAAAATGTGGTCTGTTAAAGCTTTTACCGCGCGTCAGAAGCTGTATGCGGTAAAGGGGTCGGAGGGATGGGGGGGGGGGGGTGTAATTGCTTCTCGGCGCTCATGCCAGTCACAGCGCTGTGTCGCTGCCGCCGTCTCCTTCCGCCCGGCTGCCACTGCTGATGTCACTCCACTGGATGACAGGATGGTTTTGTTGGCGTGAGCCCAGATTAATTCTGACAGGGAGGAACAAAGAGTAGACTCGGAGAAAAAAAAGAGAAAAAGGAGAGGGCGAGTATTTGACTACAGAGCGGTTTGTCTTGTTTGTTGACCGCTGAACATTTCAATGTTGTATTGATGAGTGCATTCCCAAGGTGCATTGCTCGCTTAATAATCGCATGGGAAGTGCCTCACATGTTAGGCTAATATTGGCTTCCACGCTTAACTTAAACACGCGACAAAAGGGGCTGTAGCCTACTGAACTAGCCAAGGGGTTAAACCACAAGGGTGAAATTCTGAACACCACCTCAATCCCCACTTAATTAGTCCAAACTCCATACGGACCGATTTTTTGGATAATCGTTTCCGATTGGTCTTCGTCACGTATCGCCCATCTCGCCCATGGCTCCCCATCTCCTCAGCTCATTTGCTCCTTGGTAACCCGGTTATCCCTCACATTCTCCCTCTCTCTCTCTGTCTGTCTCTCTTGTGTTTCGCTCTGTGTCTTTCACTCTCTCTCTCTCTCTCTCTTTGTGTGTCTCTCTCGCTCTCTCTCTCTGATTCTCTGTGTCTCTCTCCCTTGTGTCCCTCCCAGGCACGACCCGTTGATCATCCCGGGTGGCGATCAGATCGAGAGTATGGACATGAATGTGAAGAAGTACGACTCGACGGGGATGTTCCACTGGTGCCCGTCCAAAGACATCGAGAAGGTTATCCTGGTGGGTGCTGCTACCGCTCCTCCCCCCCCCTCTCCCCCACGCTCTCGAACCCATACGTCATTTTGTTGCTGACAGGCTTTATATACACTCCCCCATCTCTCTCTCTCTCTCTCCCCCTCTCTCAATGACAGATGCCCTGAGTCTCAAAGCAACCAACAGAGGTTGACAGGGCACTTAAACATGTCGTAATGAGGTGTTTGACATGTCATTTGCTATACGGCGGCCGACGCCCGCTCATAGAACATTTCTTTTCCGCTAATACGTATGTCGCTATGCAAATCACTCGCGGGGGTCTATTAATATGGACGCCTCGGCGTGTCACATGATCATCCGCTTGAGCGCTAGGTGAACGTAACGGTGAAAAGAGCACGACGAATAAAAAAAAAAAACCTATCAATGTTTATTAGACATTGTTAGCCTACGGTTTTAGTCACTCAGCAGATGCTTTTTAATCCAAAGTGACTTACAGTGGTGCAGGTAGGGGGTTAGACATTTTGCGCGAGGATGCCTACACTTAGGCTGTGGACACCGGGGATTGAACCTGGTAGCTTTTGGCTGAGGTACGCCGTCGCAGCTACACTATCCTGCCGCCCCTACACCATAGTTATCCCCGCCATTTGTTCCTTTTCATTATATTCAGCTCCAGGTTCCTTTATTATTCCCGGGGGAAATCGTTTCCGTTGCAATTGCTCTGCTCGAGATATAGTAAAGATGTTTGTGTGTAAATAAATCCAATAAAATGTGCGTATAAAAATGCCCCCCCCCCCTTAAGACCCGGAGCGAGGCGGCCATGACGGTCCTGAGCGGCCACGTGGTGGTGTGCATCTTCGGGGACGTGAAGTCGGCGCTGGTCGGCCTCCGCAACCTGGTGATGCCCCTGCGGGCCAGTAACTTTCATTACCACGAGCTGAAGCACATTGTGTTCGTGGGATCCCTGGAGTACCTGAAGCGGGAGTGGGAGACCCTTCACAACTTCCCCAAGGTCTCCATTCTACCTGTGAGTTGAGCGGCGATCGGGGATAAGAAGATGATGGCAAAATAGCGCAGATGTGTTAGCGTGTAACCTAGTAACCACTAGACTGTCGTATCCTGTGATGTTGTTACAAAGGTGTAAACAGTAAAGTTTTCTCTCGCCCCCCCCCCCCCCACACACCCGTCTTAAAGGGCACACCGCTGAGCCGCGCCGACCTCAGGGCCGTCAACATCAACCTGTGCGACATGTGCGTGATCCTGTCGGCCAATCAGAACAACATCGACGACGCCTCGCTGCAGGACAAGGAGTGCATCCTGGCGTCGCTCAACATCAAGTCCATGCAGTTTGACGACAGCATCGGAGTCCTGCAGGCCAATTCTCAAGGTGAAGGTCGCAGCCCCATCGCAACCCGCCTGCAGGTGGGGGAGCCTTGGCAGAGGCCCAGGATCTCCCTCACTGGGCGCTGGCGTGGCTGACCTAGTGTCTGTCTGTCTCTGTTTGACAGTGAAGTTTAGTGACTCTTTTTCCTCAGGTTTGCATAGCTTCAGCTCCCTGAGGTTATCTTGGCTTTAGCTGCCTCACGTTAGCCTGCCCGGGGTTAGCGTAGCCTCAGCCGACTCCGGTTAGCGTAGCTTTATCTGCCTCTGGTTAGCGTAGCTTTAGCTGCCTCGGGTTAGCCTAGCTTTAGCTGCCTCGGGTTAGACTAGCTCTAGCTGCCTCGGGTTAGACTAGCTCTAGCTGCCTCGGGTTAGACTAGCTTTAGCTGCCTCGGGTTAGACTAGCTCTAGCTGCCTCGGGTTAGACTAGCTTTAGCTGCCTCGGGTTAGCCTAGCTTTAGCTGCCTCGGGTTAGCCTAGCTTTAACTGCCTCGGGTTAGACTAGCTCTAGCTGCCTCGGGTTAGCCTAGCTTTAGCTGCCTCGGGTTAGCCGTGGCCTACTGGTTAAGGTTTCGGGCTTGTAACCGGGTTGCCGGTTGCCGGTTCGATCCCCTGAGCAGTCCACGGCTGAAGTGCACTTGAGCAAGGCACCTAACCCCTCACTGCTCCCCGAGCGCCGCTGGTTGGGCAGGCAGCTCACTGCTCTGGGTTAGTGTGTGATTCACCTCACTGTGTGTTCACTGTGTGCTGTGTGTGTTCACTAATTCGGTTAAATTGGGTTAAATGCAGAGAAACTAATTTCCCTCACGGGATCAAAAAAGTATATATCCTATCCTATCCATCCTAGACTAGCTCTAGCTGCCTCGGGTTAGCCTAGCTTTAGCTGCCTCGGGTTAGACTAGCTTTGGCTGCCTCGGGTTATCCTAGCTTTAGCTGCCTCGGGTTATCCTAGCTTTGGCTGCCTCAGGTTAGACTAGCTTTAGCTGCCTCGGGTTAGCCTAGCTTTAGCTGCCTCGGGTTAGACTAGCTCTAGCTGCCTCAGGTTAACCTAGCTTTAGTGGCCTTGGGTCAGTGTTTTCTTTCTTTTTAAATAATTTATATTAAGTGGGTAAGAAAGTATATAACGTAAATTCTTACCCACACTTGCAGTTTACTGTATAAATAAACGGAAACAAAAATACAAAGATAAATAATAAAAATCATAATCTGCAATTGATGAATATTGTATGATAATAGCTCTGGGTGAAAACAGGGAGCAAAAAATAAGGCACTCACGTGATTTGAAATGGCTTTTTAATAATTTTCCTTCACTGGCTTTGAATGCAAAGCTTTTAGAAACCTTTGACCTATGGCGCGACAACAAAAAACACCTGCCAATTCCGCTGTTTGGCTAATACATACATGGCCCAACATTTGCCTGAGTCAGCACTAAGTAGTGGTTGTCAAAACAGGGCCCATGTATAATGCATACGGTGTCACCCAGTTAATGTGCTTACTTGTCAGTCTGGGGAAGGCACGCGACGTCAAGTCATTTGGAATTCCATCTCGTGTCACTTAGGTTTCTGCTTGATCCATACCTTGCACCTTTTCATTCACGTAAAGAGGGCTGTTCCACTCTCGCGCATGCAACCTGAAGTAGAACAAAATGAGTTTGTATGTCACATCTATTATACATTATGGACTAATATCGGGGGCTCGCTCTCTCGCCGTCTCTCTCGTTCTCCAGAATTTAGACCCATCTCATCTCGCCGCGTAACACTTTGCCGTACAAACGACCGCGAGTTGACTTTGGAATCGCCCGATTATATCTGCGCGGTTGATTCACTGAAAAGTAGCGTCAAGCCATACGGCCCATTTTATTATGTTATTATTTGATGAAGTCTGGAGTTTTGAATTGACAACCAACGTTTAAAAAAAATCAAAATGATTCCCGTCTGTTCAGGTTTCACCCCGCCAGGGATGGACAGATCATCCGCAGAGAACAGCCCCGTCCATGGGATAGTACGGCAGATCTCCATCTCCACAGGAGCAAACATCCCCATCATAACTGAACTAGGTATATACCTGCCATACATTGTTGTGTATACTGTATATATACAGTATATATATACAGTATATATATATATATATATATATATATATATATATATATTTGTTGGGGTTTATACAACAACTAACTACGACAACTAAAGAGCTTGTATTGTTATTTCGGTCACATGTACACTGTAGACATACTTGTCCACGCTGTTTGTTTAAATGTGTGTTGAGTGTCTGTAAAGTTGAGAGATCAAACAAAACAACATATTTCCATTTAATAATTTAACCGTAATTAGAGCCATTTCTCGACTAACAGTACTAACGATTTTAGCCCCTCCCTTTCCCAGTTTGTTTTGGTTGTGTTGACGTGCTTCTTGAGTAACTTGAGTTTCTCCCCCTCCGACGACGTCTGATCTAGCGCCGTTAGCCAAACCGGGCAAAGTACTGCCTGTGATTTCATTCAGTCAGGATAAAAGCAGTGGGATCAACATACAAATGATAACTGAGCTGGGTAAGGCGCGCTTCTGTCGCTGCAGTGTTGCAACTGCTGCTGCCTCCATGTCGCCTTCACTTCCTGTTCTTTTTCTTCTTCTGTGGCTCGACACAAGGCCCCCCCCCCCCCCCCCCCACAGTCCATTTCCATGGCAACGCATTCTGCCGTGATATTGCCCATCTCGGTTTTGATTCTTCAGCTTCTTCAAGTTCTCTATTTTTCTATCTATAGGGCTTGTACATTGCAACGTCACATTGCAATGACCGCCGCCATTTTGGGAGCATAGGAGCATTGGAATGTTAGTTATTTTGTTGGTAGTAATGTTTTTGGGTTTTTTTATATTTAATTGTGAAATGATTTGTCATTATGGGGACACATTGTTGTTTGATACTACCGCAGTTTTTCTCATGCAAGACGTGGCAAAGTTTTCATTAGCCTAGGTTACGGTATATTTACGTTGATTTAGGATTTTACAGTACTACAATTCTCGAGTCTTCTCAATATGGCGGAGTATCGGCAACAAAAAATCCCATGATGCATTCTGATGTACAAGCCCTATTTTACTTTGTATGAGAATCACAAGGCACTTTGATCCCTCTCAAGTCCCACTGGTTTGCTTTCATTGCGTCTTTTTGTCAGATCGCATTCTCTGACCAACGTCCTCTTTTATCTCAGCTCTGTCACTACAGGCATGGCATTCATACGTCACAGCCGGCACTATATCCCTCATAAGAAGCACCACTTCTCAAACATCATTGTTGCAACTCACTGTGTGCGTTTCATGCTATCTTCAAAAGAAAACAAGTTCCAGGGCCATGATTTACTTTCATTTGTCTTGACACACAAAGGGTCAGTCATTTGAGGTTGTGTCTTTGATGTGTGAGATAAAAAGGTACCGGTGTTGGCATATTGGGGCCTGATTGACCCCGGGAGGAGTCCTAACGGTGCCTGGGGGACTGTATGCATGGAGTCATAAGAATGCATGGAAACGGCCCAGGATAAGTAGTGTGGCAGAGGAAAGATGATGTATACCAAATCACAACTAAACGTCAATACGTTTCAGTTGTTTCAGAGGACCGTGGAAAAAAAAGGAAAACAATTTGGCCAAATCTGTGAAGAAACAAAAAACATTTCCATATCACAACAATTGATTTCTAATCCCGTCCATATCTTCAGCTGCTGAAAACCTTCACACAGCCTCTTCTTCCGGCACGTCTTGCGTGTATTTGCACTCGTTTCCCTGTGAATTGGGTTTGAATCTGCTGAAGCACACATCGCATGCTGCATTCCCGCTACACTGGTGTTTCGAAACACAAAGCACGCGGAAATACATACGATCTGCTGGATTTTGCTCTATAACATTAAATTCAATTGGATTCACTTTTATTGACATTGAGTCTAATCCAATAGGATACATCCTATAGGAAGAAATACGTGTTATATGATATGATGTACATCAGGAACATACATATGTATGTATAGTCCTCTCTTTCTAAATCTCCCAACAGTGAACGACTCCAACGTTCAGTTCCTGGACCAGGACGACGACGACGACCCCGACACGGAGCTGTACCTTACCCAGCCTTTCGCCTGCGGGACGGCCTTCGCTGTGAGCGTCCTGGATTCCTTGATGAGTGCTGTAAGTCTTCATGATCATAATGTTGGAGCCATGTTCTATTTTGGTTAAAAGTATATATTTTTCTTTTTGTCAACGTCATTTGTTGTCTATGTTCACATTCATATACATGTTAATATTTGTACGTTGTGGGTTATTTCAGTAACGATTATGATTTGGAAGACTTTTATTTTGAAATGCTGGGCACCTGCACAGGTATTAAGAGGTGTTAGGTTAGAGGTGAAGGTCCACATAGACACCCATAGCAAGGCTACATATATACGATAAAGATCAGTGGGCTCTCATTCAATATTGTACTTTGGTTTTGGATCATTTATGTGTTTTGTTTGACGTATCTATTTTTGGTCATAAATAAATCTTTACCTTTTTTACCACTATTTGAAATATCTGGAATACCTTGAAATATGGAATATGTGTCGGAAATGTCTAATCCCTTGCTCTGAAGTGGCTTATAATTTACTTTACTTACCGAAAGTCACTACCAATAATAATAATACATTGTGTTCACTATTCTAGGTACCTGGGCTATTCATTTTACAGGAGTAAAAACTAAATATAAGGTCACAATACAACATTTAAAAGCGTACAAATTAAGGGGCAGAAAGAGCGACAGAGAGGTGAGGAGAGTTGGGTGTTAAATTGAAAAAAGTGTGTTTTGAGTGTTTTAAAAGAGACTCACAGATTTGTTTGGGGAGGGAGTTCTAGAGGGAGGGGGGCGGCGATGGAGGAGGTCCTGTACAGAGCAGATCATCAGGCGACTGCAGGGGGGACAACATACAGTATCCATCATACACGTAGGCCTATAGACAATAAAAACATAACGTCAGGTTAGGCGGCTGGCTGACCATGCTCGGCCGACAAAGTGCAAAATTATTCTCTTGGTATATTTGACGACCATCTCTATGGCGTCCCTGAGCACCTAACCCCTAACCCTACTTCCAATGAGCTTGGGCGGTTGTTACCTTGTGTGGTTGACACAGTCGCTTATGTGTGTGAATATGACCTAATTCATTAATCAATTGTAAAGTGCCTTGAGTGGCCACGGAGGTTAGGAAAGTGCTATATGCATGCGATCCATTATTATTAATATTTAGAGTGAGACTGAGTGTGCACACATCTGCGCTGGCGCTGTCACTAATTTTGATTAATGTAATGTCACGCCATCAAGCTCAATCTCATTAGGGAACCACGCCCTTTGACCCCGCCATGAAGAAGCGTAAACATAGGTCGTTGGATTTTAAAACGACTTGTAGTGGGCACCACAAGGCCCAATTAATCTGCCTTTCCGTTTGAACCAAGCCATGGCGGAAGCGACTAACATGTAGTTCCCCTAACGGCCTATCGGTGGCTCACGGGGTCTGGATGCAGTAAGACCCGCAACCATTTTAAGTCAATGGGACAAATGTGATTTCATAATACTCAAAGCTAATACATTTTTTCCTCGTTCAGTTAGGTTCTCAGTATA